GCTGATCATTGCAAGCCAGCAACCAACAACAACCATCTTGTTAAGAAACTAATACGCTCACATATGTTATGTAACTCAGTGGTATTTCTCATTGTTGATATACATAAACATTTGGTTGTGCGCTGCTTCGCAATGCTATACGAACAAGCTTTAATGTGTACCACACTAATGCTCACTCGTGTCCTAAATGCTGTGTGATAATGAATAAAGTGTGTAATGCTTCATGCACATACTCGCTATGCTTCATCCCTTCCCCTCTCCATTAATATTGTCAACTCTAATTTTAATTTCATGCTGCCACATTGTTTTGCATTCAGTCGACATTCTGTAATGGCACGACGCACCATTCTGAAACACGCAAATAAGCCTACTGCTGCTACTTTTTGTTAATCGTCATCCTTCTTCAAGCTCATGCAATCATTTTCTGTGACATAAATCCCTACACTACCTATCTGGCCATTACTTATATATCTTGCAAATCCACCCCTTACTCGAATCATCCCAACGCATCTCTCTTTTTTCTCATATTACGTCGTTATCTCCTCGGATTGAAAACCTTATTGAGAAGTGTCATATTAATAATTCATCCATCGTAATTCCAAATCATAAATTAGAGGATTCTCTGTCGCATATGATTAACATAAATACTCAAAGAAATGTTGAGGGACATCAGCAGTATACCGACATATGAATAACACTGATAGACATTTATTGAATGCCGCTGAGAATGAGAGTAATATTAGGATTCTAGTTGATCTGTTCATCGCCGACTGAGGGAAAGAGTGAATAATTGCGCAGACCAAGAAAGTATTCGTTGAAACTGATCGACTAGGTCTGTTGAAAGCAGTATCAAACATGCACGATGATACTTTCGATCCTTTAATGAAGCTGAGAGAGATATGATCGTATTTGCCGTTTTCAGTTGAGGATTTCTAATAAACGACTGAAATTTGATAGAATACAAGTCGATAGAATTTGGTTTAAAAGAACGGACTAAATAATGAGGCATAATTCCTACCTTCATTTATCATTTACAAGTTTAACTGATAAGCTGAAAAAGTTGTTGGAGAGAATTACGAGTGAAACAGTTTCAAAGGGTCATATTCGTGAAATTGATTGAAATGCTTCATTTAGTCGATGAAATTCATCAATCCAACAACGTGCTCATAATTTATTGCCATACTTTATCACATTTGATGATGTATGAAGCGTTTACCCATTTCATTTTATTCACCAACTCCGCTCAAGCTTAATAATCTTTCTTGATGCTCTCTCTGTATTAGCATCTTTCAGTTCTTATCTGAATTTGTGAGAAATGACGAATCTACTTAAGCAGGCACTAATATTTCACATTGAACTCTATAAATGACATCATTATCGCTACGAATTTTTTGTTGAGTTGTTAAACTGAGCGTATCGTCGAAGAAAAGAGACAGAATTTTAACTCGCATCATCCAAAATAGTATCATCGCATTCTACACCGCCACTTTCCGTGTGCTCAGTAGTGTTCAATTCTGCTCATTAATCTACAATCCTCACAGATATCATAGTGAAGGCTGTAATAATTATATGCACATCATGAAGATATAGCAGAGTGCAAGAAGTGGTTAAACTTAAATGAATAGATTAGTAGCATATCTGTGAATCATTACCACAATAGCTGATAGGTGATGTATTTAACGACACTGATAGACTATCAGCAGGTTATTCCGATGATATATTTTATTTATTAATTTATGAATAGTTGGGTTAGATTAAGCCATTCTTGATTGTTTCTGTATAAGTTTGGGAATAGACTGATTTGAAGTAATGATTTTACAGTAGTAGTGTTTAGCTGTAGTGAGAATAGAGTTGGAATAAATCTGGTGGAGTCTTTCAATGACAAATCCATGCTGAACGACATGAAAGATGAAACGAATAAAAAAACGAATTTTATCTACGTATTAAATACGGTAGCAAATTATAAAACGAGTAGTCATTATATGATTATTTGAAAACAACGAAACACAACTGGAATTCCGACAAGAATGCAATTCGAAGCAGCCATCAGATGGACTCAGAATTCGACATTTCAAATAAAGTTGAAACAATCGCTTGTAAACACAAAACATCTTAATTGATACAAACGATAAACAGTTATTTTAACGTTCTTATCGGTCAATATTAAATGTTCTAGTTGAACAATGCACGTTAGCAATTGTTAATGCACAATTTACGTTACGATTAAGTTATCAGATTATACGCCATTATCACAATGAACGCAATTCATAATTTGACTTTACAGGATTTGGAAACGATGAAACAAAACAAGATCGTATAAATACAGGCAAGATGAATATTTAAAAAAACTGAGGGGCCAACATAACTGTATAAGACACTACACAACTGAACAACAAACGCAATTGCAACAACGACATATCTCACCGAAAGTGAGAGGTAGTCAAATAAATAATTAAAATCTGTGTAGATGAGGACTCAGTAATGGATGGAGTGAGGTACAGATTAGACAAACACAAAACAACTACATAATTAAGCATTATAAATGAAACCCTTAACCGCTCATCACAACAGTCGTTGCAATATTTTTGAATTACATGAGACTTTTCTTGGATGCTTAGCAGGAAATAATGTTGTTTTATGCTCCCAGGAAAAGACAGCAATGCATGCATCATTGAATAGTGGAATGCTTATGAACAAAAAACAAAAACTGTGATCGATGATGAATGAATAAAAGAATGGCAATGAATTGAATAGAAGATGAATAAAAGAATACATTCACTCATTTCAACACAACCTGACAACAACACCTTATGAGTAAACAATAAATAATACAAACGCAATTTTTCTGAAAAAAAACGATAAACACATCAAATGTAAATGTTAAATGAGGCAATAACTATCACGTTCTGCAGCTCCTCTTCCTTTAAAAGACAGCAATTCACGCAATACAACATACAACACAAGAGTAACAATCTTTTCATTACCACGAAAAAATTCAGATATTAAAAGGAAAATACTCGCAAGAACAATTTCGAAGACTGTTTTCTTCTCGAATGTGTGCTACTCAAAATTTGGACAATCACTTCGTCTCGACAACTATTTCACCAGGATTTGGCGACTGGGAAAATCTGAAATTATAATGTGAAAGGAGGGAAAGAAACGTTGATTCGATAATGAACGAAACTGGAAATTAAACGATAATTTAACGGTATCATTGAAAAGACTGAGGAATGAATAAGAAGTACACTACAAGTGAAAATTCAAAAATGAAGTGCAACACACTCGTATCCACATTGTTTAAGCCACTGTATAACGGCTGGTTTCAATTTGCTGAGACCGTTTGACGACTTTCCATAGCCGGTTATAACAGTCAACTTTTTTCCGGATCGACCGGTACGCATGTTCAGGGGTCCTTCAATTAGTTAATACTGCTGTAGAAGTAGTCATGAATGAAATAATGTTCATCGAACTGAACAAAATTCTCAAATAAGGAGACATTTCCTTGATCAGTAAGGGAGGTTAAAGCGAATGTCAACTAACTATCAACAGCGTCAAGTTTCTTGCGAAGGAGTTTGAGTGCAGATGTGACGTTCATAGAATGAAGATCAACGGTATTCGATGTGAAATTAGCACTTTCAATTAGATCATTCACATTCGAACTATACTCTCTCGCTCGTCGATCGAAATTTTGAGCCTGAAATCGAAATTTATTTACGTCCTTTCACCACAACTGAAAACTTCAATAGTTTGACATGAAATTTATTTTCCAAGTAAAAAATTTCGTATTTATTAATGGGCAGAATATATGCATTTGCATTCAAAAAAAAACATGTGTACAGGAAAAAGAATAGATGACGTGATTGGCCACTGCGATACCTTCCGAGTCACGTAGTAATACTAACCTCAGCAATATAGAACTGCTTGATTCGAAGGTCTTTAGCACGATTTGCTTGATCGTATAATTCCTTTTTCTTTTCAAGACAACGTTCGATTTCTTCTTGTAAAATAACCGTTTCTTGCTGGATGTTTCCTAGATCAATCTGAGCGGTCGTCTGTAACAACATCAAATTTATCGATGTCAATACGACATTCAATCTTTCATCGACAAAAAGTACAAATGAATCAATCAGACTCAATTGTTTTACTGATAGGTGTTATCCTATACTCGATAGAGGCAATGCCTTAAAGTATGAAGCACAACGAATCAATGATGTAGACCTTAAATCCTACCGCGATAAAACCATTTAGTCTGGACGGCTTGGGCACTTGATCGGAGATGATATTATTTGTTTGATCGTTTGAATTGGATGAACCAGACTGATAATCATACTGAGATGTTTCATCGCTGTCTTCCATGAATATTGCTAATGTCACTTCAGTTGCTTGTGATGAATAGCTGAAATATTACATTCCTATCGTATAAGATAGTGAGACCACTTATGCAGGATCGCGGTACGAACATTGATGTGGGAAGCAGTAAATTGTGATAATGATGATAAGTAGGGTGATCTTCAAGAGACTTTTACACGAAATGAACATCAATCAGTTGAGTGAATAAGTAAATGAATAATCAATTGACTTCTCGATTTTTATCAATTGATACCTGCGATCAAAATGAATCAAGGACTTTACTGAAACACTGTAAATGAATAATTTGATAATTGTTATTTAGCGGTGATAAAATGTGATTGTTCAATTGATTACTTATTATCCTTGAAGCATTCGTCGATTCGACTACGATCAATCGCCGGAAATTTCTCATAGAGCTGATTCAACTGCAATCTTGAGGCCGTATCCAGTTTACGAAAGCCTCTGCCCTATAATGATACTCAATGCTATTGAAATGACGTATATTTCAGCACGCACTTTTGATGAATTAGAGTTCAATAAGAAGGGATTTTATCACAGCTCGGTTCTGAGCGAATTCCTCAATGAGAACTATGAGCGATAAAGGAATATGAACGTTGTAGCATTTGTTATGAATAAACGAACCGCTTCCTTAGCTTTAACAATTCGTTTCGTTTGCAACGATGAATTTAAGTTGTTCTGACTAATGAATTCTTCATTGATACGGTTCAGCGTATCAGGAAATTCATCGTCGAAATCCTCATAAACGACCAATTCTAGAGAATAACAATCGATTTACTTCACTCGAACGCTCGCCTAATTTGATTATTCCCGAGTGACATTTGATTTATCTGATTTACTCTGTATTCATATTTTCATTTATTTTTACAAAAATATGGATTACAGCAACGAAAATGACTGAAGATATGTGGAAACTGTACACGGTAGAATGCTATCAGAAAATCGAGTTGAAAGGTAAGAAAACGGAATAAAAAGCGATATGATAAATGGAAATTAACCTCCATGACGTCCAGTGACCGGTAATCCCTGCCAGGCTTGATAGATCTGACGCCACTGCCACAGAGGTAAATCAACGAAATTGGTATTCTTTCGCTGCGATTCATCATGATCTCCTTAAATTTTAAAAGTTTCACGATACATCCATCACCTTTCTATACATCACTCTTAACTGCACTCTTGTAACCTGCATCAACACACTATCTTACAGTGAAAGATCGTTTGAAAAAATTAATTCAAACAAAAATTTGATTTTTGCTGTCCACAATTCAAAACATTCATTGATATTTGGAACTCAATGAGACACTTCCAATGACAAAAACAACTTCTTGAAATTTGAGCACCACTTCTATCATTCAATCAATCTCTGGCTTATAGGTTGGAATCTAAAGCATGATAACGAACCGAATAGTTGCCCAAGATTTTGCATCATGTCAGTGGATAATTGCATTCGATAAAAACCATTTCTGATTGGTTTTCTATGAAAATCACTATTGTTATCAGCAGATGCGTTAATAGCATTAATAATTGGTAATTGTTGCTGCTCTCCGGGTGAATCAACGCGTTTGCGTTCGTAAGTTCTCGATAATAGAATATCTTCAGCACCAACATCCACCTATAACAATGTCAATTCAGAATTCAATTTGGGAATTAATTATTCAATCAGTGGTAGTGAATGATGTGTTGTTAGTTGTTGGTGTGTTCGGACGCACATCTGGATGTTGCTGATTAGGCAAAACCAACATATGATTATTGACAACTCACTATCATATTGATCATGAAATGGCAGCCGAAATCGAGACAGTAAAAATAAACAGTCAGTAAGTGCGACTAATATTTACAGCTAGACAAATCGATTATGGCACTGCAACTGCAGGTAATCTATAGAAATCAGCTGAGCGCACTTCACCTCTTTCTCAACTTAATTCGGAAACTGGCTCAAGCGAATGAGGCTGAAATGCACCCAGTTGGTTTCTAGAGGTTGTTGAAATGTTGCATGGCCATTGTAGTTTCCATTTTTGGAACGTTACTAAATTTTCAGTTACTTCAGTTTCGTCATTATCGACTCGTTGCCTTATGAATCAGTACA